TCAGTTTCAAAGGTGTTCAATGCAAGCTAGAGGTAGATATGCTTTTTTAGATACTGTCAACTAAAATTTAGATAGTGTTGAGTTAATCTTTCAACAAACTTTCCTGAACCCTATCTACAGATTGAGAGGGAATGACATTTTCTATTAATGTAAATTATACAGAGAAAAGGATAAAAATATAGTATTAGGCCTACATCCTACCTTATGGCAGTATTTCACAGCTAAGTCAAATAAGGTCTGAAAAAGCTAAATTATTGACATATATCAGGAAGCGGTAAGTGATGGCAAAGGATGACTTAGTCATGGAGGAGGTGTTCTATACATGTTAAGTCAATGGCAGATATTGCACGACCTTCTCTTTCTTATATGCTGATGCTACTAAGTTTAGAGATGTAATTGATGAGAGAGGTGATTCACCATTCAGTTTTGGAAAGCTGCTGCCAGTGATGTAGTTTCATTGATGGCTTACTATCCCTGCATTAAGGGTGATGACATAGGCAATGACTGCATCTGATGGAAACTAAGATCTTTTCTTTTGTCAAAAAGTAACTCAAGCAAAGACCTCCAAACAAGCAAACAAAAATTGTTTTAAAACAAATCTACTCCTTACTACCAAGCTTTGTTTAGAGACACTACAAATAAATCAAGCTGTTAAGAAAATAAGCTTTACTACCAGGTTTCTAACAAGCATCTGTCTGTTTTTTACTGAATTTTGATGCTATCTTCAGCTCCCTCTGTTTTCTACTGATACAAGAAAGAGCTAGATGAGTTAATTCATTTAAACTAATTTGACTACAGTAACAAACTGCCCCCGAAACTGTCTCCCAAAGGGTTCTATTTACCCTCCCTAAGAACATATTTAAACAGGATGTAAGAAATTTTTCTTTTAAAACATTGATTGAAGGGCTTATAATAAAACAGGAAGCATCCCTACATTACCCACTATGTGCAAAGAACTGTATGTGCAGAATAGTTTTCTCATCTGCAAAACGAAGACAACAATGCCTAGTTTTATGGGCTTGTTACAAAGTTCAAGCAGAATAAAATAAAGGGCTCAACATCGTCCCTGGCATGCTCAATAAATAGTAATTATTATATTTGTTATTGTTCTTCTTATTATATATAGCACCAGTCATTACACATAAAACATTGTAAGTAGTCTTCTGGAATTGTTGGCACAAGAACAGGATACTGAAAACTTGGTAAGTACAATGAGAGTTACTTGCGGATCTGCCCTCAGACATTGTGTAGGACTGAATGAACATCCCAAGACAGTCATGGCAAATGTCCCAGATATGGGAGCCTCATGAGAGAAGTGCATCCTCAGAATTTACCTCTCTACGTGTACATTTGAAAACTTAGCTACATCTTTTATAAAGATGATTCTGCAATGTTCTACACTCCATTCAGCCAGTGCCTTCCAGTCAAATATCAAAGGACCTAATTCAGGAGTCTAAGCATTTCATTTCTTGCAAGTTATGGTATCTTTGTATGTCTCAGGGACTGAGGCAATTATCTATTCAAATCGTGACTTTCTGGATCACAATTCAAAGGACCTAATTCAGGAGTCTAAGCATTTCATTTCTTGCAAGTTATGGTATCTTTGTATATCTCAGGGACTGAGGCAATTATCTATTCAAATCGTGACTTTCTGGATCACAACGTTGTATTGATAGATACTTGCCTCCCTCAGCATCTTATCATTACCTGCCCTGATCTCTTTACTTTTCCTTTACCAGAATAACTTAATTAAAATTTCCATATTCTTATATGATCTCATGTATTTTGTGTGCAGAGTGAACAATATTAAATAGAAAAAGTTTCACATAATGAAGTGCATGCATTGTTAATGCAGCTTTTAAAAAAATAGGTTTTATATTTTGTGGAACAGTTTTAGATTTGTAGGAAAATTGAGCAGATACTCCAGAGAGTTCCCAGGTATCCCTTGTGCACAATTTCCCCTATTTTGAACATCTTACATTGGTATGGTTGATGTACTATAATTAACATATTGATACGTTATTAACTGAAGTCCATAGTTTATTTGTATTACCTTAGTTTTTAACCTAATGTCCTTTTTGTTGTTTTTGTTTCAGGACCTCATTCAGGATACTACACTACATTTAGTTTTCATGTCTCCTTAGGTTCCTCTAAGCCCTTGATCTTGACAGTTTTGAGGAGTACTAGTAAGAGAAATTGCAGGATACCCCTCTATTAAAATCTGTCTGATTTTTTTCATGGTTAGTCTCAGGTTATGTGTTTTGTGGCGGAAGAGCTCAGAGGTAAAGTGCTTAGTTAATCTTGGGAGATGCTGAGCTACATGGGCATGTTTACTACTAGCCTTCCAAGAGCTTTTGATATATTACTGGATATTTGAATCTCAGGGACTGAGGTAGTAATGTCTAAAGCATCCCAAATCAATTGGCCGCAGAACACTTTTACTGATTCCATGTTTACTAACATCTCTAAGAGGATTTGGGAAATATTTAGTTTTGTACTTTAGCCCATGTTGAACTCTGAGAGTTCTAGCCACTTGATATGCAAAGTAAATAAAACAGTATGAGCGTCCAAATTTCTCCACCTTCCCCCACCCCGCCCCCCCAGAGCTCTCTGAAACAGATTTCTCAGTGACCGAAATCCTCATCTTGAACCTTACAAACCAACACCTACATGGGGAGAGTGCTACTTAGTAATCATCCACTTAAAATGTTAAGACAATTTGTTTTCAAGAGGCCAGGAATTCTAAAAATGAATTCCTTAGTTTTTAATGCCTTAGTGTTTTGAATGTTTTAAAATTTAATCACCAAAATTAAGTTTGAAAGATGATAGGGCCAGTTAGCCACACTGATTTCACTTAAACCAGAGGCACAAATAAATTGAATTTATTACTTAAAAAACATCATCTAACTTCCTGATAAAACTATTTAGGTAATACTCCTTAAAATGTATGCATATTAATCAGATATAATTTTCCAATTTATTTTGGCATTTACAATGGACACAGTCTAACCATTTATCAAGTGGCAAATGTTTAAGGGGATTTCAAGCTAGAAATGGCACTGTTCTGACAAAACAAACTTTGACAGAAAATATGATTTGGAAAGATTGCCTCTACTCTGGAGAGAAGCTTCTAGAATCAAACGAGACACTATTTGGCCACACATTTATAATCACAACATGATTTCATTAAAATACCACCCACAGGATGATAAATTTCACTTTAATTTTTAATCAAATTTTGGGGTCACAGATTCATCTCCATTGTTCAAAATGATATTTCCAACATTTAAAAGTGATCAAATCCTTCTTTAATTTCTTCTTCCTGATGTAATACCATTTTTACCTGAATCTCTCTGAAAAACCATGTGAGAAGATATGTAAGCTGAGACAAAGGCAAATCCTCTCCAAATCTGTAAAAAGAACCTTGTGAGGTACCAGAAACTGTTAACATTCCATTCTTACTGTGTAATGGGAAAGACTTTCTTCTCTCCAAATTGCAAAAGATCACAGATCTAAAGTGCTTCTAACTGCCAAACAGCTGGGCATCTGCCACACAATCTCTGGTTTGACAAAGCAAGCTGAGAAGCTACCTGAACTCTTCTCTCTCTCCCCAGCCAGCAAAGCCTAGCTTGATAATGTGAGTAAGGAAATCTAAGTACACGACTTTGATTTACAATTTATAACATATTGTAATGGGAATCTTAGCTGTTAGGACTAAATACAAATGCCAATATGAATGGAGATCCAGTTATTGGTAATATGAATTTTTAAAAAAGAAATCCAAGAAGTTCAAATTTCTATTTATATCAGAATAAGGTATTTCACTTGACTTTATCGTGACTATTATGTTACATATTACAGGGTCCAAATATTCTTTCCAATTAAGTTATACAGTTGGAAAAAAGGCTAAGGGATCTTGTGCCACCAGAAA